TAGTAGTAGTAGTATATATATATATATATATATATATATATATATATATATATATATATATATATATATATATATATATATATATATATATATATGTTGTAACGGTACAGCGATTACAACAGCCTATCGTTTTTCTTGAAAATTCTTATTTAATTGGGGAAATATGTTATTTCAAAAATTGTTTCGAAAGCATTGACGATGTGATGACAGAAAGGAAACGACATTTTTTTAACGGCAACTTTGATTGAATTCACGGAGGAAAAATGTACACCTACATACATATACATACACATACACACATACATGCACGCACATACATACACACGCATACATACATATGCATACATTACATCTCAACATCTAAATTCACAACACGAGAAGGCTGATTGGCTTTGCAAAGTTACCTCTGATCAATGGAACTGATTTTCATTCTCTGTTATTTTATTTTATATTTTAATGTTTCTGCATTTGTATTAAATAAGAAATAAGAATTGTTTTGGCTTTTTTATTTTTTGATACCACATGTTAATTCTCTCGATGTATATTACTCTCTATTCCTTGACTTATTTATTGAATTCTTTCATCATTTTCATCGCATTCCTTGTCTTTCTTCATTCCTCTTCTCTTAAGGGCTAAACTACTGTATTTATATATTTTGACAGCTGACGTTATGAGCTTCTTCCAGGATATCATCCAAGTGTAGTGATGTGCACAGTTGCACTGTTACCTCCAAATGTTGATGCACTGCAAAACTTGAGCCATTTCTGATCATTTGTAATAGTTCATTTACTGATATAACTAATAGAAACCATGCAATTATTGCTATTGTTCGGACAAATAAGTAAATTGCCGAAATTCACATTATCTGTTCAATGCACAATGTTCAGCATATGAAATCATGCCATTGTCAGGTAATTCTATATTCCGGACAATTTTTCTTTTTTTTTCATTGCCTTATTCATCATCCTTTCGTTCGTTATGCAGCGTCATTCGATGATTTGTCATTTCGATTAGCTGATATGGTTCAAATAGTTTTTTATTCATTTCAGACTTTTATTCCAATCTTAAAAAAAAAAAAAGCAGAAGCTGCATTGCTGTGGATTTGTTGGTGTTGAAAACTGCACCACATTAAACGGAGTGGATGGTGATTTCCATCCTGTTTCAGTGCTGCTGTTGCTATTACCACTGGACTTTCTGGATACTTACTGATTTACTTGAGGAGATCAAATTTTAAAGGTATGTGCTGTTTTGGTTGCTAGATTCAAGTTTTTTTTTTTCTACTGTCTATTTTGCATCTATTTTTCCTTTCCATTTGCATTGTACAAATGGTTTGCTTTTTTCCTTCCTAGCGTATCCACCCATTCATTCATTCATTTATTCGTTCATATTTTGCTTTTTTCATTTCTTCATTTTGTTCTAGCAGCTACTTTTTTACATCGATTATCAGCATAGCACTATGGCCGATGTTGCTCGTCCGGATCCAATCTCATGGCAACATCCTGTGGAATCGAATGAGGGTGATCCATGCAGGTATAAATTTCCGATGTAAAATTCAAAAAATGTTTATGCTATTAAGTTGTTATGAATTTTAATTTGAATTTTTTCTTTTTGGAAAAAATCAGAATTTTCAAATACTTCATCCGTTACTAACATTTCTTCTACTTACCTGTGATAACTTTAGTTTTATTGAAAAATTATTGATTTTTTATTTTAAGGTCAAAACTTTCTTTCTGCTTTACGATTTTATGTTTTGCAGCTCAAATGATACATCAGTGCCGGAAGAACTTGCCCTTCTTGCCGATAAATATACATTCAGTTTTGGTGAGCAAAAATCACTACAGAAAGATGTAATTGAGTTGAAGAAAAAGATACGCATTTCATGTAACAAGCAAATGCGTATTAAGCAAGGATACGTACAAATGCAGGTGAATTTATCTGATTTTTGGCACCTCTTACTTACTTGAGTCAAGTACTTTATTTAAGCACTTAATCACATAATTTCATATTATGCAAGGACATCTGTAAAGGTATAATTGACGTAAACAGCTGGCTTTTAGTATCCTTGTGAAGTGACAAAAATTAATTCCGAATAATATCGAGCTTTCTTAATGTAGTATTTTTGACTTCTTTCAACTATTTCTTCCCTTTAATGTGTTCTACTTTACATAGAAGTATGCACTATTTATGTCGTATGAGAAAAAAAATTGTATGAAATGCTTTTAGTGATGATAGTAGATGTATATATTTTCCGTAGTATCGGTATTGCTGGAATACAAAGTTTATTTTTAACTTGATGTCATCGAATTTGGTCTAATATCATCTTCCAGATACCTAACTTAGGCTGAGCTAAACAATCACATTCCGGAACTGAAGCATCATGCAAATAAAGATTTTAATAATAATGACCTCATAGCAATAATCTCTTTTTTACCACTTTTTTAGTTTGTTATTCATTCCGCTTATTACATGCTGGATATTGCTTTTAGTTCTTGAACAAGAACTTAGGGAACGATTAAATTTCCAGTAGGGCACGCTTAAAATATGTATAGAATATGTAGAACTGTATTCCTTTCTGTACTTGATGTTTGTAGAAAGTGACAAAAGAAAGGAAGCAATCAGATTTTCTCAAAAAAGAAATCCGAGATTTGAGTGATCAAATCAGTGATATGAAAGATGATTTACAAACATTGGATATGTATGACAGTGGTGCATTTGGTAAGTCTCTTCCGTTATCTTTATATTTTATTACTTAAGTTAAACATGCAGTGAGTTTAAACATGCAAAACGAAGAGAGAATAAGCATTTAAATTTTGCTTAGATTCTCTTAGGAAATAGAAAGCTATACTGATTAATGCTTCTGTGTTTTCTTTGCTTAAAAGAAGAAGCGATTTAATCATAACTGGATTTCAAATAAATGCTGTATAATTCAGAATAATTTTTGAAATTTGTGCAGCTTTCATATCTCTTTATCTTCCAAAAGAAAAATGAAATAGGAAATTTAAGTCAAAACAGAAGATATCAATAAAAAAAGTATATTAAATCACTGCTGGGATTTCAAGTTTTGGATTTTTTTAGACTTGTGATGATTTTTGACTAGTCCCGAATGTCCATGTAGGTCGTTTATGTTAGGGCGTTTTTTCTACTTCTTTTTTGTTGACATATATGGCTCCACTTCTTGCGTGTTAGCTATTTAAAGTTTAATGGAAGGATAAAATCAGAGAAAAAGGGGATCTTGTTGGAAAACTTTACTCGAAAAAGATAAAAATAGATTAAATGGAGACGAATTTATGTATGCATCTGTTAAATATATTGTGAGGTTCTCATTTTAAATTATTTCATAGAACGAAGAAAAATGGTTTTTTAAGCATATGCAGGGAATAAGCACACAGAAAGTGCCAAAATATGCTCTACTGAAACTTCCAATACCTTTGATTTGAAAATTGCTCAAGACGATTATTTTACATATGTTATTATTCAGAGTTTTTATTGGCATTAAGGATAATGAGGAGTGATGTGATTTTGAGAATTTCTTTACCAGTTCACACGGAATTTTTTGAGGAAACAAATTTTTGATATACACTACAAGTTTTTGGAAAATCTTTCTATTATTCATAGAAAATAAATTTTAGGTGGTTAATAAATGTGCTATCAGTAGGGCCGTAATGTTATTATATGACAGCGAATAATGATTACCACTTGATAGTATTCGTTGAAGGAAGATTTCGAAATTGCGGATGTAATGTGGTCAAATAGGAACTATAGGTTGTTAAATTACAGATTTTAGTGAGGTTAGCATAATGTCTTACCAGGATCTCTGGAAACAAAAGCAAAAAATTAATTTTTTATATACTTTTACATACTCAGTTTTTAAGTCTTCCATTGTTCTAGATGATGGTGATGACGTAAATGGTATACCAAATTCACCTTCAGAAGATACTTTAACAGCAGATGGTTCATCTGATGGTGCGGGTCTCGAAATAAGTACCGAAAATACAGAAACTGTGACAAATAGCCGGCTTGCTAGCTTACAGGTCAGATTTGTTTTTCTTTTTATAATTCAACAATTCATCTACTACCACCATTGATATGAGCAAAAAGTGAAAGAAAACTATCAGATCATCCTCAGTAATATTAATAACGCCAATTATCATTTTCTGGTTTTATTCTGAAGCAGGATTTTAGAAATTATACTCAGTTTAAAGAGTGAATGTTTGGTTCGTGTCCCGCATCAAAATGAGCATGTCAATTGCGTTTTTTAAACAGCAAAGCAAGAATTTTGAAATAACTGCGATCATCACAAAATTTTTTATCGTAACAGGACAATATTGTGGTATTCAAAAGTGACTACCGAAACTCTGCGAAATAATACTCAGAGAGCGGATTAAAAAGCGACAAGTATTATTTTTTTTTCTTCGGCAATTACAATTAAATATTTTGTAATTGTAGAAAGAATTGGATAAGGAGATGAAAGTTAAAGATGGCCTCGAACGTTTCCTTGCTATTGGTCATACGAATCGTAAATTACAAGAAGAATCAAAGAGTATGTTGTTCGATTCGAAAGCAAAAATTGCACTACTTCGAATGCAAATCGAGAAAATGCAACGACAAGAACAAGTTGATGCTGGCTTATCTGGTATATGTGACACAATGAAATATTTTCATAAGTTTTTTCTCTTCCTATACGTGGAAATTCCCTGTTGGTTAATTTGAGAGGAACATTTAATTAAATCATAAAAGGAGAAAGGTATTAGGGGTACATCATGAAAGGATGTTTATTAAAGAATGTTGAAGTTATAATGACTCCATGATGTCCTATCTTTTTTTTCAGGTAAAACGATACCAACAAAAACAGAAATGATCGTTGACGATCTTCTTTTCAGGCTTCGCAAAGAAGCTGCAATTGCTGAAGGAGCACAAAACATGATCAGGTAGATTTGAAAAGAAATAACTAATATTTCATTCCGGAATTTAAAAGGAAGGTTAATTTTCCTTTCATAGACTAAATTTCATTTTAGAATATTGAGTAGTCAGAGAAAGAGCGATGGGAAAAGTCTTTCGCAAGCTATTGAAAATCAGATGCAGTCTGAGGAAAAACTTGATCTTATACGATTAGCTTTAGCCAAGTACAGGTAGCTAATTCAAGTTCTTTTTTTTTTGGGTTAAAAGCAATATTAAATATTCTTTGTTTCGAAATTTACTGCCTTCTTGAGAATCTCATCTTTTTATAGTGCATAAATACATTCCGTTGCCCTACTCCTTGGTGTTATCCCACTGATCCTAGATTTGGACTAAAGTTTGGATATTACACAGTACAGTTCCTTATTGGTTGTATCTAACACTGCCGATTATTCGATTGAACTGGTATAGCATTGTTCTGGAAATTTATATGGGACATTTTTTCTATATTTTGTTTAATGTCATTTACAATAAATCTTAGGAAAACTTTTTTACTTCCTCTAGTGCGCGGTTACCAAATGATTCACCAAAAAAAAATGAAATTCGTGACGCCGTTTTGGAATCAGAACGTTTGCCTCTCACGGGTCATCATCATCGTCGTGATGGAACATTTAGTCCAACGAGCTCTGCTCCTGGAAGTCCATCACAGGTTTGATTTCACTCCTTTCGCAGTCACTAGTTATTTTCTCCTGTTGTAATATATCTGTTATATTCCATCTTTCGCTTATAATAGGTTTTTTGTAAATACGGGTATTCGTTATGTATAAACTACAATTTTATTCTTAACATGATATTTTTAAGGATTAAAATCAAATTCCTTTATGCTAAGATGCAATGATCTCTGACTTTACATTCCTTTTTGTAAAATCATTAGAATTTGATATGCTCCTTTTTTTGCATAAGTACTAGCTTTGATACTTCCGAGAACTTCTGAATATTGAAGTTTAAGTAAATATTTAGAACAGTTATATCATAAGGTTACCTTCTTGATCGGGTTAGTTGTGCATTTAGTTTTTTATATTCGATGTCAGACTGTCTGAAGTTGCTTTATCAATGATTTACCTTATATCCTTAGTACTATAGAAATTTGAGCCAGCTCAGAAATTACTCGTAATATTGATCGATATGCTAGTCCTTCACCTATCTAAAATACATCAGTTATCCCTTTGCAGGATGATTCAAAATCTGCAAGTCTATCACGTTTAGCGCTTTCATTGAAACGGCTTTGGACACTGCCATCATTAGCTGTTAGCGGACGTCTGGAAGTGAGGTAAAACTTCCACCTAAGATAATCACATTTTATATTCTAGGTAGAAGTAATAGAGAGGGGAGGAATTGAAGTAGCGGACAATTTTGGTGGGAAACAAGCCATTTAAACCATTTATTATCGTTGACTAAATAAGAAAAGGAGAAAGTAGCACTAAAAAAATGCCTTCTAAATATAACCCTTCGTGAAACTTGACTATTTCCAGGTTAATTGGTTGCCAAAATTTAATGGTTGACATTCCTCGTCGTTTACTGCGATCAGAAGTCTCATCAGCAGTGACAATGGGTGGTGATGGTTTGCCTAGTTTCACGCAGAAAGCACGTAATACACGTGGAAGTGGCCCACGAACATCAAGGTTTGTTTGTTTTCTTTCTCCTTGCTATTTCGATTTGAAAAGCCTGAAGTAATATTCAACAATTGTGGCATCGATGTTTGAAACACTAATGGGATTGGATATGAGCTCAAAGTTGCCTTTTCATGTTTGTGGTCGATATTTCTGACTAATTTACTAGTTATTAAACTGTGAATCAATCAGCTAGTTGTACGTATGATAACTTATCAAAGAAAACAAAATAACAAATCGATGCTGTATATGGCAAATTTACCCATAGAAATAGTGTTTGTTGCACCTGTTGAAGTTTAGTTTCTTTGCAAATATTTCCTTGTTTTCGCACTTCCCAAATTTCGGTATTTTTTTTTTTTTTGGGTTGATTTCAGCTAAGGATTCTGTATGATGTACGGATCAGCGTTATGAGCATAAATATATTAATTCAATGAAAAATAAAATTTTGAGGCAATAAGATCTGAGTAAAAAATACAAAAAGTATTAGATAAAGAGTGAAAAATAAGACTTTGCACTGCTTTCCAGAAAATAAGTTAGTGGGTTGATATTCATTTTCTTGCTTTATTTCATGTTAATCCATTATATTCATTTAGGTCAACTTGACAGTGTTATTTAAAAGTTGCATAGAAGCATATCATAAGAATTCTATCTTCTTTTTTTCTACATATGCAAGTTTTATTTTTTCGAAAAAAAAGTGGGCTAAAATGGCATCTCTTTATTATCCATATGCAGTGTTAGTCTGTTATGAAAGGAATCTGAGAAGAGAGATTCTAATAGCAATGTTTTATCTTCAGAAATTTGACAAACTTGTATTTTTCATAAGTTTGTGAGGATTTTTTTCTTGTTTTTTTTTTGAGTAGAAGGTTCTATTATTTAGTACTGCAACTTCTCATGCAGAATGTGATGTCAAATGTTTCATTTTCAAGTGATTGCTAGATTTTCCAGTTATCCATTTCATCAGTTTTTGATTATCACTTTGTTTTTGTTCAAGACTGTCTCTTTGTTTTTTTCTTTCTTTTTTTATTCGATAATTGAATTTTTGTGCAGAATTTATTAACTTCTTTGTATGTTCTTGTATTGCAACCACACGATGGTATGTTTTAGGGCAAGATCTTCATCAGTTTGGTGTGCTTCTTCCGCTTCAACGACCGACGCATTGTATGTTCTCAGCACTTTTAATTTTTTTAACTTTCATTTATTGTCATTTTTCACTTAAACTTTATACTGCATTGTTTACATTGACGAATTACTGCTACAGATATTATGATTGTTTTTATTAGTTATCTCATTAAACTTAACGTATGAAGGCCATATATTGCCGGATGATGTTCAGTCAGCACGGCCATTTTTTGGCTCTTTTCAAAAGAGTGTACATATGTAGTAGTGATAATGGATCCTAAATGGCGAAACATCCAAATACATGGGTAGGGAGGCTTGAATTATCCATTTCCAATGTCTTTTTAAGTTTCTCTTAAGAATGGGACAATTTTGTCCACATAATAAAGGTGCTTTCGTCGCTTTCATGTATTCATAGCACTTCCTAGTTATTTAATGGTCATATATGCATAAATCCATGGATTTCTTTTTTAATATTTTGGAATTTAAATTTTGAATTCAAGCGTTGGTCGAGAATTTCTAGCACCTAACACTCACTGCAACTTATCAAAAATAATCATTTGTGTTATCAGACGTAATCATTGCACCAGATTAACTTCTAATCAACATTGTCGGCAAATTTATTTTTGTAAGAATTCCGAAACATGTTACTCCTGAGGTTCTTAATTAGCGCATTCATCTAATTAAAAATATCGTGTTTCATTTTTCTTCTTTTTCAGCATAGGGATGAAATTTTACAATGGTTTTTTCTTATAAGTTGAGAAATGAATTTGTTTTACGCTTGAAAAATCGCGAAAAAAGTTTGTAAAAAATCAAGAAAATTAATTACTAAAATGAAATTGACGAAGTGAAATTGAAAATATTGTAAGGGATCTTTGAACGAGTTTAAATTATTCAGATACATTACGTATTGGTTTAATGATTCGTTACTCATTTCCTGTAAGACAATATCTTATTAATATGTCATCCTATAATATCTGTAGTATTTCTATTGAATCTTAAAGTTTTTTTCATTTTTAAAATGGAAGCTGTAAATACTTTTATGTTTTATACAATGCTCTTTTATTTAATGTTTAAGCAAATTAAAACTACGCAAATAAACAGATGAATTATATTTTAGTGCAACAGCAAAGCTTTCGCCAAATGATGAAGTTGCGGCAACACTCTTGCTAGATAGTCGTGAAGTGGCTAGTACTGAGTCACGGCCAGTTTCACAGCAAGCATGGGATCAGCATTTTAGCATCGATTTAGATAGGGTTTGTTTGTTTCTGGAACGACTGCAATTATGAGTATTTGAATTTTCGATCATAAAGTTCGCAATAAAAGATTCAAAATATGAGCTAGAAAGTGGATTAGAGTGAAGTTTTTGCTAAGGTAATAGAAAGGATTGAAATTTTATGTTTCTTGGTTAAATGATTAAATCGTCCATCTTGCTAAAAATTTTCTTTTCGATATTGATGCATTTCCAGTCGAAGGAATTGGAAATTGAAATTCGATATCGTGATTGGCGCTCAATTTGTGCATTTACGGTTGTCAAATTAGGCGATATAGTCGAGCCATCAGAACGAGCTGGAATGGTACTAAAACTTGAACCTCAAGGAGATCTGTTTGCTGAGGTCTATATCAACTAGTTTTTTTTTCTTTTGTTTTTGTTTTAAGAAATCCTTCATTAGGTATTACCGTGCTCAACTTTATTTTATCAGACATACTAGGAATGGAATGAATAAAACATTGTATAGATGAATGATAAGTTCCATATTCAAAATTTTAATTTTTAGTTTCGTCTTTTATCTAGCTTTTATGTGCAATTATTTTATTTGTAAAAAATGGTTTTTACGTTTCAGTTCAAATATTTGAATCCAGTTGTCAGTAGGAAGCCTAAGCTTGAACGACAGAAACGCCTTTTCCGAGTGAAAGGTATTTTAAAAGTTCTTAAATTTTTGTCCATGATGTTTTTCCTTAAGCTTATATGAGTATGTTTTCAAAGTGCACGTCATTCGAAATGAGAATGTGGCACATTTCTACGATAGTCTTGTACATCCAAACAAATTTATGTAAATTTCGGTGATTGATTTTCTTAACAATCAGAATTGATTCAGAATTTTAATTGTTGGCGCATTTTGTTTCATTCTTCAGCGTAGCGATGCGGTTCAACTTAGTCCGTGCAGCTAAATTTAAGTGGCCAAACTATTGATAGTACTTTTCTGACTTACTTACACATTCTGGAGATTCGCACTTGACGCTATTTATCATATTTTCTTTCTTTTTCTATTAGAGGTCTTTTAGGTGGATGAATTGCAGTGGAAGACAGTGGAATATATCATGTTTAAAAAGTGATTTATATTTTTTCATCTTTCAGAAAGGAAAGAAATAGCGAGTGCGAAGAAGCAGCTTGGTGTTGCCGCATGGAGCCGTTTAATGAAGCAGTTTGGAGGTTCACAGTCGAATGAAAGTATCGAACCGATTTTAAGTCCGACATTCGGTGGTTTATACACCGCTGCTACTACAACTACTACTACCACTGGTAGCTGTTGTTTTCTATTTACAATGAGCAAACTTTTTGGCTCAAATTTTATTAATTTACAAAGACATACATTATTTCTATGTCTTCATCTTTTTTTTTCTTTTAGTTAGAAACATTTCCGTTTATGATCCTAACAGATGTATCGGTATTTTAAAGGTGATAAGCTTTGGGTTAGGTTTTAAATTTATTATCCATCTAGAATAAATCAACGACAATTATTTCTAGTTAATGCTAAAAATTTTTTAGTTGCAGGTCCTTTATCACCAGTGTCAAAAACTGCCCACACACTACCATCACGTCTGACTGCAGATCGACCTCTAATTTCAGCTTCTGGACTATTTCCACCAGAAAGTGGTCATATGCGTCCAATACGTCCTCCTCCTCTCCCTAGTTCTGTACGTTTTGGAGATATTTCAGAAACGTCGAAACCAAAGCAAAACCAGCGAATTCATGAACAACCAAAGGTATTGATTTCTGTTTTTTCCTTCTATTTCATCAATTCGGAATATATATTAATCAGGTATTCTGTCTCATATATCTGGTAATTAAATATGTAGTGCCTTATACATCTTGAAGGGCTTAATGAGATTAGGGAAAACTGTAAGACTTTTAACAAGCAAACATTATGCGTTTCACTCTAGCATAGATCTAGAGAATAAACAATCAGGATTACTGTCATTAAAAAAAAAAAAAAAAACGCTACTTTTAGATGCCATCAGCGGTGTTGTCTCGACCATCTGCGAAAAATCAAATTGCAGTATCTCACATCGAATCTCCACCACCTTTGCCAGCATCCAAACCACCACCTCTAACACATAAGAAAACGTCGAGGATTACTTCTCCTACGTCCAGTCTTACGATCGACAAATTTCACCTTATTTCTGTTTTAGGGAGAGGGCACTTTGGAAAAGTTTGTTTTTGATATGCAAAATGCGGTTTTATGACAACACAATAATTCATATATGATCTGCATAATATTTTAAGGAAAGCAGAATAGGAGACAAGAGTATCTGTGAGTAAGACGAGAAGAGAAAATGCAGTAGAGATTCACTAGTTTGTAGAAAGGAACCTTCCGTCTGAGCTTCTTATAAAAAAAAAAGCATTTCCAATTGCTCTTGTAGCAGTAATCAGTTATCATTTGGAAGCAGTAATTTTGCTTCGTCCTGCTTTATATATTCTCTTCTTTTGAATTCGTATAAATTAAAAAATCATTTCAATTTGAAAATTTTGAATTATGTTGTAGGTTATCCTTGCTCAATATAAGGGAAATGGAGAATATTATGCGTTGAAAGTACTGAAAAAAGGTGATGTGCTCGGTCGTGATGAAGTGGAATCATTGATGGTTGAGAAAAGGATTTTCGAGGTTTGCATTACCGTTTTCAGTCTGATTTTTTAGTGTTATAATTATTTCGTAAAACCTACTTATTCCTACGTCCCAAATGGTTTAGGGCTAGTACGTTTAGGGTGAAATTATAACTTTAAGTCAGTAAAAGCGAATCATTTCTGAAATAATTTTATGAATTTTCGAAATTTTGCAAATTATTTTTTTATTTCTTATTTTTTTAAGAAAACTTAGCTTCTGAACTTCTAACTGCTGCTTCATTTCAGATTGCAACATCTCGTCGTCATCCCTTTCTTGTGAATCTTTTTGCATGCATACAATCAAAAGAGCATGTTTTCTTCGTTATGGAATACTCGATGGGTGGTGATCTAATGCGTCATATACACGATGATATTTTCACTGAAGAACGAAGCTGTTTTTATGCAGCCTGTGTTTTACTAGGACTTGAATTCTTACATGCTAATAACATCATTTATAGGTGGGAATAGTTTGATTGACAAAATTTTGTTTAAATTTTACTGAAATCGACGCAATTCATTTATTGGTCAAAGTTTGAAATAGGATGTCTAAACGTAATAAGAAAAAAAACTGAAGAACTAAGATTATCTTAAAGAAGTAGAAAGTCAGCATAGGTTTTCTGGAAAGGATAGAAGCCTAAGTACACGAGTTTTTTTTCAGGGATCTCAAATTGGATAATCTGTTGCTGGATCGAGAAGGTTATGTGAAATTAGCTGATTTTGGTTTATGCAAGGAAGGTATGGGACCAGCTGATAGGACTTCAACATTTTGTGGTACTCCAGAATTTCTTGCACCTGAGGTTTCCTCGTTGCCATTAATTTTCAATAAGACTTTTTTAGGAAATTATCTTTCGTATTTGAGATTGCTTAATTTTATTTCTGATTACTTCTGCACTGTCACGGCGATCATTCAGTGTAGCACATCTCTCGGTTACGTCAGTACTGCATGCATAACATGATCGCAGATGATCGGCGTGGGAAAGTTTTATTAGATTCTTATATGCAGAGAGAATCTGGTATTCAATTCAAACGTGTCTTTTGAACAGCTTTACAATCATTTAGGTGTTAACTGAGAATAGTTATACTCGAGCAATTGATTGGTGGGGGCTTGGAGTGCTAATTTTCGAAATGCTGGTGGGTGAGGTAAGTGTGATCTGCGATTTCTTTCGTTAATTGTGAATGTTCTAGCAAACTGCGGCATATAAGCTAAAATGCTTATTTCCGAAGTATTAAATCTAAGAAAAAAAACAGTATGTCTTTCCATGGTAATTCCAAGAATTTTATTGTCAACCATAAATATGCACAGAGACATAATTACAGCCACCGTTTTCTGGTGAAGATGAGGAAGAGATATTTGATTCCATTGTAAATGATGATGTACGCTATCCACGTTTTCTTTCTATTGAAAGTATTTCAATCATGAGAAGAGTAAGTTTTACTGATCCGTTTTGGAATTCATGATTCATATTATATGGACTCTTATTAGCGAATAAAATCCAAAAAAAAATGCATTTCGTAGTTATACTGCGTGATTAGACATTATTATTTGAATCAAATACTGGGTAAGAACATTTTTTTTAATTTAATTTCACTTTCAAATGTCGCTTTTTATAATTTCCTCCAATGATCTGACCCGTCGTTCTTTCTTGATCTTCAACGTTGAGAAGGAATTGTAAGAATTACTTTCCCGATGTTAATACGATGAATGTGCACGTCTTTAGTACTGTTCACACACTATATCTTTTCGATTGTGATCATTTTCAGAATTCCAATGCAAGTTTATGTAGAGTTTTATTTTATTTCAGCTTATGCGGAAGAACCCTGAGAAACGATTAGGTGCTGGGCAGAATGATGCCATCGACGTAAAGCAACAACGATTTTTCAAGGTTACAATAGTTTTCTCCCAACATAGCAATGTAGTTAGGCTTAATATCAAACCAAAATTTGCTTCAGTTAAATTTTAAAATATTTTTTTTCTGTTGATTACTTTGCTAGTTTTCTTATCTGTTGCCATGAATATCGCAGGAAAAAAAATGTATATGACGTAATTTTTTCTTGTTTTACTGCCCTGAGTGGAACAAACATTATTTGAATGTATTCATGACTTTACAACTCTTTGAGATGTGTGGAAAATATTGCAGTGTGTAATAAAACTTAGCATTACATCCTGAATTCTGTTATTTATGCTTATTACCCCAAATAATTTGCGGATGTACTTTATATTCCGGTAGTGTCAGAAGTAATTAATCGAGAAAAACTTGCATTTTGACTATTTGCAGCATGTGAATTGGGACTGGGATAAGCTGCTGAATAAAGAAATCAAGCCGAAATTTGTTCCACAAATCGTACGTTCATCTCTTTTCTCTTTTTGTTTTTTTTTAAAGCATTCTTTTATACAAGATATCTTTTTCTAACTGATTTGGTTAGGCAGTTCTGGTGGTCGAGAATATCAACTTACTTCTACGAATTTTCTTTCAGAAAAACTATTTTCAGAAGAATCGGGAGGATGTGAGTAATTTTGATGAAGAATTCACGAAAGAAACACCACGCTTTTCATCAGCGAAGGACAAACGACCCATCACTGATGCTGACCAGATGCTCTTCAAAGATTTTGATTTTTCTTTGATTAGTTGATTAGAAGCTGTTCATTCTTTCCTTTGTTTATTTTTGTATAGGAGTTAGCAGAGAGTGCCTTTTGTTCCTTTTTGTTCGATTTTTCTTGTGATGGTAAAAACGAAAAAGAATATATGTCTAATTAAGAAAAAAATTTATCTACTTGTGTATAATTTTAAAAAAAATAATCATTTTATGATTAATGAAAAAACTATGATTGATTGTTGATTTTCTGTAAAGATCAAGCGGAGCTTTTTTCGACTGGATTTGTTGCACACGCGTTTTTAATCTGATCATTAAAATTTCAAGAATTAAGGATATATGATTGATACCACAATTTATATGACTGATATCGCAATTTCAAAACTTCAAAGCAATTGCAAAAAATCGTTAAATTATTATCTGGACTGCATTTGAAAGAGATATTGATTTCGAAGTCATATTTTGGCATTTATTTTTTTGCTTCATTTCATCATTTTGTTTCGTGTATTTTGCATTCAATGCTTCTTATCACATTCGTTTCCGCAATTTGTTCTTTTAGATTCTAGTACAGTAGCGATTTCTTGTTTTTGAATTCTTTCAACTATTAAATTATTTCATGAGCTATTGTTTTTGCCATAAATTTAATCATCAATTCTTAATACGAAGGAAAGGCTCAGAAATTTTGTCGTTGTCAACTCTGTTTCATTTTTATTTCATGACTTTTTGTTCCTTTTTCTACGAAACTTTCTTGAACTTTCCATGAACACTGAAAGCGTTAATGGAAAGTTTAAGAAAATTTGTTCATGAAAAGTTCATACGTCATTCGGAGAAAAAAATAACGATTCAGTTTGCTTTTTTTTTCTTTTTTCATCGTTTTACACCTGTATGATAATGATATCACTTCAAGATTTAGATTAATTTATAATCGCTTAGACCGCCTATTACTTGCAATTTTTATTTCCTATATTATGCAGGGCTATGATAACATGTTGACCGCTATATTTATTGGAGGGCCTCTTACTGCTTACTCTTCTTCCTATGAAGTTTTTAAATTTTCACAAAGAATTAGCTCTGTAATCAAGAAAAAAAGATTTCGCGATCATCTTTTTCTTTCAAATATTTTTGAAATCATAATTTCCCTCCTTCTCAGATTGAGATTATGCAAAATATGTTCTTTTTCCGTTTCACATTCTAACGATACTTCAAGCTGTTTATCTTAATCTAATCATCTAGTTATATTTCATTAGAGTTGTACTAATCGAGAATTATACAATACTGGCTGCTAAAATAGGAAGTGATTTTGCATTTCAAATTTTTTTAAACTTTTATTTTAATGTGGTAATTTGCTCCTTTATTTGATCGTTTCCTTATTTTCCTAGATTTTGGTGATAGTAGTAAGATGCTTTCCTAAAATGAGTAAAATAGTTATTTACGCAGGAATATTCCTCTATTAACTCAGCATATCTCGGAATTTTTCATTTATCATCCATTTCGATGAAAATTCTTGTAACTGAAATTTATTAACTTTATATGAGAAAAGTTAATTAATCAAGAGGAATAGAGTAATACCTTATGGAAATTATCATCATTTGATACGTTTTACTATTATTCGGAAATAGATTGTATGTTTGTTTTCATTGATTGACATATTTTCATTTTTTCTCTCGACAAATTAAATAAAATGTTTATATTATTTCTCATTTTTTCTCTCAATAAATTGAATAAAAAGTTTATATTATTTCAAAATGGCTATTATCCATTCGTTAAAAACACGAAAATATATTGGCATTGTAGATGCATTCAAATTAGAAATTAGTTTATCAATATGATATTTGGGAACGTGAAAAAGAGGTGTATGTGGTTTAGCCTACGTAAGCTATCGGTTGTGATAGGATTTATAGTATACCATTATGTTGTATTTTTGCTGTACTAAGTAAGAAATCCTATAAATTTGTTTTAGTTAATAGGGATTTGTATGCAACAAGTTTATTGTTCTCAAATGATGTATATTTATCGAATTGAGGAACAGAAATATCTGTCTTGAAATATTTAGTACAAACGACTGTTGTTTTTGAAACTTGATATTTCTTCAGAGGAAAAATATTCTATGGTATAAATTTTTGGTGGTCTTTTTTTTTTCTGTTAATAGAACAAAAATGGCTTTATATTGGATGCATTGTTTATCATTTCTTTTTCATAAAGCTTTTGCATCATTAACATTTTTCATAGAAATTAGATGTGTAAAATTTTCGGTTTTCATCCTTTTCAGATTGTTATTTTTGTGAAAAAAAAAAGATGTTGTAGCAAGTGCTTTTAAGGATGTCTGCAGAAGATGAGCCTATCAAAGAAGTTGAAATTCCACGTAAAGTTGGCATGAAGGTTAAATTTTATAGATTGGTAATTTGAAAATTTGAAAACTTTAGTTGTATGGTTATTTATTGCAAAGAAATATGAGAGGAAGAATATTGTGATAATACGATAGATCAAATAATAATTTGATAATTAACGTTGAATTTGTTTGCATGTTTGTTTCTTGCATCCTTAAAAATTGTTTTTCCTTTTCCAGTTTTTACTTTTTTTCTTTTCTACTAGAAAGTATAACCAATTTAATCGGATAATAATTACAAATAAAAGTATGCGAAAATTTTCAGATTTATGAAATTATTTATTTTTTCTATCTCCATTATATTAAATTCTTTTATCATCATGAATGTAATGCACACTGTTTAGGAAAAACTTCAAGCTGATCCAGGATTTCCAGTTTCAGTTGTGTCAACAGTAGTTGGCTTTACCCTATCAAATGTGTTCTTTTACGGCATTACAGGAAATCCACGTGCTGGCATGTAAGCATTTGAACATTTTCATAAAATAAATAGAAAATTAAAGTTTTTGATGTCTAAGAAGTTTTTGTTCGAGTTTTTTGGCAAACTTTCATAAGTTTTCCAAACTATCATGAATATTGTGATGCCTATTATCTTTTGATGAAAGCAGTAGTTTAGTGATCATATTTTTGCATCATTTATTCATGGAGACGATTAATGAAAGATAAGCTGTACATAACTAAGAGTACAATATTCGTTATTGTAGGCTTGCTGGTTTGATATCAATTCCATTTTGTATCATAACAAATATCCTGGATACGGAACAGGATTATAAAATATGGAAGGAAACGGAAGGAATGAGAGCACGTGGTTTACCAGAAATATTAATTCCAAAGAAGGCGAAATACGACTGGGATTATTATGAACCAATGCGAAAGGAAATCGAACGATTTTATAATTATAATGTGGAAAATAAACAAGAAGCCAGTTAACTTTCGTTCCAACATTTCCGTAAACAGTCCCAAAAATAGATCTTCCTTCTTTGTACCTGATTTTTAATCCTTATGCCTGACAATTTGTCTTTGATTCTCTTGAAAATGACAATTAAAATAAGTTGCCATTTGAAGTAAAATTTCACTCATGTCGAAATATAATGTTATCTAAACGAGATTGCCATATGGAGTGGTTCTATATCTCATACTGTTTCAATATTTTATTGTTCTCTTGTTAATTAGGTTCTTGCGAAGAAATGTTTCAAGTTAGGCATATAGGGTTGATATTTAACAGTATATGATGTATGAATTGTTTAAATTTTCAACAATAAATGTTTGTCAACAAATCGTCGGATTGAAATTAGCTGGATGGTATTTCGAAAAAAAAAGAACAATGCGTTAGTTGGTGATAAATTTTGTCTTGTTGAAAATCCTGTTTAACACTTCACTGTGTGAGCAAAGTTGAGAAAATGCATCTTCTGAGCATTTGAGAAGTTCCTGGATTTTCCCTGGTTGCTAAACTTATCGATGGAATTCGAATCATTCTGGTGATATGTTTGACCGCTATCATGGACCAGTTAAAAAAATACAATACTGCAAATACTATTCATGCTTTGTATATCTACATTTTTTTTCACGTTAATAATTTAGTTCCGGAAGCGAAGATCAAATATGAAAACGATAAAGTTTGTTCATTCAAATAATAAATATTTCCGGAATTAATTTCCTAACTGATATTGAATTTGATGATGAACAAGTTAGATGAAATATATACGTGAATAAGGATTATTCATTGTAAATTGCTTATACTCATTTAAGTATAACTCTTCTAGTTTATTTAAATATAATTTCTTATGTTGTTTAATTTTTTCTTTCAAAATTTCCATTTTGCTTAATTTTCATTCCGAAATTTATTAAATTGTTTATTGACAAGTATTGATATTGAGTGAATATATCCTAAGACAATGGATCATTTCTTAGACCAATAATAAATACAAAAATAGATTTTGCCAATGCCATATGCACAAATTATACATGAATTTTTACTTTCTCATTATATTATAATAATTTCAATCCTTATGAACAGTTAATAAAATTAGCACTTTTTAATAATTATCAAAATTTTCAAAAGATTTCATCAAAAAGCGGCAAAATTTCCGTTATTACTGGGGAATTACGAATACTTAATGAATAATTTATATTTATGTCAGTCAGCATGTTAATATGCAGGAATTTGCTGCAACACATGAGCATGCAATAATTGCATATGTATCAATTTCATATATAATGAATAGTTTATAATTTTATCCATGACTTTTTTATTGGCAGAAATAAATGCTACGTATATTTCAAATATCTTTTATTTTCACCACAATTAATTTATCACTTGAATGCTTGATTGTTTTTTAAGAATTCAAATTAATTGACATTAAATTAAATTACCAACTAACCAACTAACTGATCGATGAATTTCAATTACATTCATAATTTTAACCCATTCTGGTATTAATTTTCAAATTATTACAATGGTCATTATCGGTTCTCTTGCATTTGACAGATTGATCAATTTTTGATTTAAAGCAAATTTAATTTGTTTTTATTTATTTATTTATTTTTTTTCAAAATTTACATTGAGGAGTTTCACCCATATAATGTTTATAGTTTTAACTTTGCCCAAATTTCTTCTTTTCAATTTTCAATTTTATTTGATCAAAATTAGCAAATCATTTGATCCAATAAAATTACGCATTGAAAATTAATCTTATCCAACCAAAAAAAAAAATTTAACATAATGTATATTGTAATGTTCATAAGACTAATTATTTGTAGCATATTTTTTGCAGAGACATCCGATACATTCTGTTAAATTTGTTTAGCTTATGAGAAATTTTTTCAAAATTTCTTAATCATTGTTATTGCAATACTGGAAGTTAATACTTATGAATAAAATTCTTTTAATGTTCTCATTGGAATTTATAAACAGAAAAAAAGTTTCGAAAATTTCATCCTTTTTTTTATTCTTTGATTTCTTTTCCAATTTTTCTAATTATTTATGATTACGCAAAATTTCCGTCCTTCTTCTTTTTCTCCCTTCTTGTTTGCATTTATGCGAATTTAACTTTTTAACAATACAATATCTAAGATGAAAAGTTAAGATAAAAAAAGGAATCAATCGGAATTATAAAATATGAATTGAGGAATTATAGGCCAATTAAGGCAGAAATGCTAATTTAATTAAAAATTTCTTGCCCAAAACTGCATTTGCAATATTTGAGGTATAATTGATCGAAAGATTTAGGGATTAAATTTGCAATTAATTTGATGGAATAATCATTTGAATTTATGAAAATGCTACTGAACAAGTAGCATCCATTATGATCTTTAGTCCATTTTCAGTTCCGGTAATTTACTTGCCAATCCATTCCCGAGGTAATTCTCAATAGCCAAATAATATATATGTTTGTTCATCAATTTGAAATATATAACATTTTTGGTTTATGTGATAAGTTACAACTAAAATCTATCCTCAAGCAATAATGACTTGTCGGATGTTTCGTTTGATCAATCAAAATTTTTCTTTTTGTAATCCTGAATCTTTCTTTTTGCCAATCAGAATCCTTCTTTTCACTAGTCAGAATCTTCTTTTTTCATTATCTCTAATTCTTCTTCTTGCTATTTAAAATCTTATCATAATTTATGGTTTTTTTTTCAATTCTGTTTAATAAATTTTTCATGAAAAAAAGGATACGCGTGAATGAAATTAAATTCATCATAAAAGCTAAAAATAATTTGTAAATTTCTAAATTAATAAAAGTTAAAATTTTATATTAATAAATGATTAAAACAGAAAGACAGAAAATAATTTAAATTGATGAAAATATTTCTTTTTTTTGCACTAAGTAGTTTATAACTTCATTTTACTTTATTACAATCATCCAATTATAATTGAATATTTACTTGTTACAATAAAGATATTACTATCCTGTTCTTTTTTTGCGTATGTTTCATCCTTTTTTATTCAAAAAAAAAAAAAAGAAAATGAAAAGGAAGATATTCGCTTATGGGCACTGTTAATCAAATTCGAATTTGTTAAATTATAATTGAATGATTTTTCCCAATTACAATTTAATATTTGTTTGTGATTTTGAGATTAACAAATGAATGAATAAGTACAACAAAATATGAAATAAAAATAAATAAGTACAACAAAATATGAAATGAAAGCGAATACAATAAACAAATAAATATAATAAATAAATAAGCACAACAAAATATAAAATCAAATTAAGCACAATAAATTAAGTACGATAAATACAACAATAAATAAACGAATAAAACGAAAAATAAAATAAAAATAAATACAACAATTCAATAAATAAAGAAATGTAATATCAATACTTCGAATTTGATTTTTCAAATTCAGATTCTTTTTCCAGTTTTTCAATAAATCGTTTCATTCGTTTATGCTTTGTTTTGTTCCTTTTTTTTTTCTTCTCTTTTGTCAGTAAAAGGAATGAATTCATTCAATTTCTTATTTATAAAAAAAAAAAGAAAAACAAAAATGGAAATAATTGGAAATTTTCTATTCCCATTTAAAGTCTCATTTTTCCGATTTCTGTCCTCATTATAATTAAATTGAAAGAAAATCACCGCTTTTCTTCATTCACTTTTTTTTCACATTTCATTTTTCTCATTAATTAGAAAAGACAAAAGTTCTTTTTTAGTTTTTCCCAAATTTCAAACAACAATTTCAATATTTAATTTTATCAAAATATTTAAACAATTCGATTAATTACTTTTCCTTCTTCTCTTTTTCGTCGTTTTTTTTTTGTTATTATTGGAAAAATTTATTTTTAAAAGTCAGAAAATTTCCCAAATATATCATTTTCTATTTGTTTTATTTTTCATCTCATATTACTTTTTATCTTGTCACCTATTTCTCTCTCATTTACTCCAATCATCATTTTTAAGTCATTTCAGGAGAAATAGGATTTCAGGAAAAATGGAAAGATAAGAAAGGATTAATGGGTAAAAATGTAAAAATGAGGAAAAAATGGAGTTTGAAAAAAAACTGATACAATTAAGTATGTGATGTGATCCAATCATTGATCCAATTCAGTATCTAAAATCAGGTTTTGCGAAAAGAAATAAACGTGGGAGAGGTCATGGAACTGAAAGAGGAGGAGAAACAAAAAAAAGGTCAAAAAAAGACCAACAATGTAAACCGGATCCAATCGTTGTTCCGACTTCATATTTAAACTTCTTCGTATTACATTATACATTTCACATTGTTTGTCCTTAAATCAGCATTGTGTATTGGTTAGTTTTTTTTTTTTGTTTTAAATTTTGCATCTTTTCCGATTTTCTTATTCGGAAATCTCCGAAATTGAAATATTGAAAATGTTAAATATATCAATCAACTATCTTCATTTATTCATAACTTTTTTCTCTTTCCGATTTCGTTTTTTTTAAATTCTTTTTTTTTGTTTTTACAGGAAGATGCAGCAATATCGTTTATATGGTCCTGCTACTCTTGCAGCTTCCGTATGTGGAATAGCATTTGTCGCACTAATTGTAATAGTTCCGGTAATTCTGAATGATATAGCACAAATAGAAGAAGAATTAACATTACATCGTGATCAGTATCAGATTATGTCTAACACAATCTGGCATTATTTAATGCAACAAAGTCAGCAGTTACGTTTAACTCGTTCAGTAAGACGAAATCGATCACAATGTAAGTTAACAAGTCCGACATTTCTTGATTCATATGTTATTTGGGATATGTGATTGATCAAATAAATGGTTATTAATGATTTGTATAATTCGATCAAATTCTAATTTTACTCTTTCTTATTTTTTTTTTTTTTTCTTTAATAAAGTCGCTTTTGAGCAAGATGAAAAATCTTTTTTTTTTTTATAGATGGCAGTGAAGAAGAAGAAAGTGGTGGTAGGACGAGTGGTGCAGAAGAAGGAAGAGATGGATACGGTGAAGAAGGAAGCGAAAGAAGGGAAGAATATGAGAGTGAAAGGTTACCAATTCGTATGAAAGGTCAAAATCGCTGTCCTCGGGGACCACCTGGAGCACCTGGTGAGCCGGGTGAACGAGGTTATTAAATGTTATCGTTCAGTTATCTTTTTTTTTTCAATAAATCAATAATTCCAAAAGTGTAAGTTATAAAAAAATGAAAATTTTTTCTAATAACCTCGTTTTTAAGAAATGAGAAATATCACAGACACAAATTTTGAGAAATGAGAAATATCATTTGAAATTTGTTAAAGATAAAAAATTCCACCAGTAATTATCTAAAAAAGTATTTTGCAAATCAAATAGCATTCCAGGTGAAAATGGTAAGGATGGATTACCTGGCAAGGAAGGTATTTCAAGTATTAATGAAAGTACGAAAGAAGGCCCATGTATACAGTGCCCTCCGGGAGAACCTGGTTTACCGGGTTACAAAGGAAAAAGAGGATCACGTGGACCACTGGGTAAAAAAGGCGAACCTGGGAAGCCTGGTAAATAAATTTTGCATTTCTTGCTAAAATTTGAAATTCATTTAAGGAAGAAATAGATGTCGAAATTGTTTTATTTTTTGCCAATTACTATAGCTAACGTTTCCAACGTTTGATTCCTTTCAACTACTGTAGGTTCCAGTTACTGTAACGAATCGCCTCCTACTACTGTAGCGAACCGCTTTTGGCATTTGCTCCATCCAGCTACTGTAACTGGTGGTTTCCATTGCAGAAGAGATTACGAATAGCCTTGATAGGTATCATTAGGAATTAAATGGTAAATTTATGTTAAAAAAGAACGTATCATGCTTGTTTTAAATTTCAAGGACGTGATGGCGAGGTTGGTGAGGAAGGACCTGAAGGTGATATTGGTCAAATTGGACCACAAGGACCTCCTGGTGAAAATGGTCAGCAAGTAAAATCATATTGGAATTAAACAAGTTCTTTATATCAGTGACATCAGAATTCTGTTTTTTTTCGAGGTTTAATTCCGTATTCTCATGCATTATGAATTATTTCAACAAATTTATGATGACAGAGTGATTCCGAACTTTTCGTTTGATTTTCTAATTCAGTACAGGTGAAATATTTTGCTATAGGTAGACCCGGAAAAGATGGCTATCAATATATTCGTGGTCCACCTGGAAAAAAAGGCGATACTGGGCCAAGAGGACCGGAAGGAGACCAAGGTCCACCTGGCGAACGAGGTGAAGAAGGCGAAACAGGTAGTTGTCTTTCAACAAGTTGAAATTTTTCAAATTTCAATCATGAAAAATAATTTAAGAAATATCACTTCATTAAGGATTACCTGGAGTACCTGGCCGTCCTGGACCAATAGGAGTAGAAGGACCACAAGGTATTTCCGGGCCAATTGGACAACCGGGAAAAATGGGTATGCCATTTCAGATTTCAATTATGCATTGCATCACATGAATTTTGTATTTCTTCACAATTGATATTTTTTAGGTGCTGATGCGGAATACTGTCCTTGTCCGGTACGGAATGTTAAGGGAGACAGTGCCAGATATGATTTCAAACAGCCATCAAATGAAGTTGAGGAAGATGGCAATCGATTGATAAGTATTTATCGGAAAATTAGACCAGAGAGGAAATCCTACAAAATGAAACGAATTACCGATAAATTACCAACGATTCATCCACGTTATGGTATATGATTATCAAACATATCAATAAGAAATTCCTCATCCGAAACTGTCTCATACAGTATGAAATAACTATTCATCTATTTGCGCTAATTCTATTATTTTCAAAAATATTTGAAGATTTGTGAAGAAGCAAATTAATTAGTTAATTAAGAATGTCACTACGCTCAATCCCAATATATGGCGGACGCATCTTTTACTTCAATGAAACCATCATTCATTTTTATGAAAATTAAATTGATATAACAAAGTTTTATGCTAAATAAATTGAAGAAATTACCTAAATTAAATGGATTATCTCAAATTAAATAAAATTATCTGAAATCGATCAAACAAATCATCTAAAATCTTACAGCATAAATATTTGTTTTTTATTAAATATCAATTTTAGGATGAAATCTTTCCCACATTTGCATGCATTGATAAATTTCTTTTTAAACTATTTCTTGTCTGATATTTTCATATCCACTTTTACAAATTTCATAAATTCATGTCCTTTGATTCAAATCAATTTATTCTTATAACTAAAATGATTCATATAAATGAATATTAGGAGAAAAAACTTGGCTAATTTTAAAAATAAAAAAAGAAAGAGATTAGCAATTAATGATTAGTAATTAGCATTGATTGTTAAGCGTTATTCCTATAACATTAATGGTTTGTATAAATAGTAAATTTATTGGGGTTTATATATAGAATAATAAAATATTAAACTAAAATCTTTCCCAAATTTACATTTTAAATTATAATTACCAATTTTAGGACGATAAATTTCTCAAATAGAAACAGAAATTGATTCGCTAAAACATTCGAATAGAGCAAAATTATCGTTTCTTTCTTTTCCACCTTAATTATTACTCTTTTATTTTCCAGGTGAAGAAGACAAAACATTGAAAGATACTTATCCTGCTCCTACGGTATAGCTAAATAAATTTTGGCACAGTAGAATTTAGAAAATCGTCAGATTTTTGAAAAATTAAAATTCCGAAAAAAATTTCATTTGTAAAAAAATTATAAATGATGTAAAACTGAATATTATTTGTAGGAAAGATTGGAAGAAATGCAAACGATACAACCTTACAAGAAACATATTTTGGCAACAAGTTTGCGACGTCGACATTGAAAAAATTTTCTTTGAAAACAATTCACAGTATTGCTATGCATCGAATAAATGGAAGTAGAATTTGAAATGAAAATATGAAATTGACATTTTGATTTAAATGAAATGTCTTTGGTGCTATATTTCAAATACAACATGTTACACTGATGTTATTTGCATCCGATACAGTATGGTGTTATTGGCTACTCTATTCCAATCAAATTAAAAGACAAAATTTTCGATAATATCAAATAATATCATTGTATCGAAGAATATATATGTGTAGATATTGATATTAAAAATGTCAAGGAATAGAAATTTAATAAAATTCCATTCCTGAAATTCGTACTTTCCTGAACATTCATAAAATTCAAAATGATAAGAAAAGCTTGATTCCTTCGCTAAGGCTTGTACAGGTTCCAAAATTAACCTTTATTAAATTATCAAAAGAAATAGGAAGTAACGAAAAAATAAATTTGAAATATCCTTCCACTTTTCCCTAACACAAATTAAACGAAGTGTAAATTAAAAAATCGTATCCATTGCAATTATTTAACACCAATTTATGGCAAGGTGAAAATGTTGTATTGTTGAAGGTAATTCTAAATTGAGTCAAGGTGATTTTTGCAAAATTTGTAGATAATGAAATGAGTTAATTTTTGCAAAATTTGTAGATAATGAAATGAGTTAATTTTTGCAAAATTTGCAAATAATGAATTAAGATATTGCTAATTGTGACATTTAGTTAGCAGTAACCATACTTTGCCGATTGTCGCTGCCAAAAGTTCATAAGTCAAAGGAACTAAATTCCAATCTAATCAACATATTTTGAATTCGAATAAAATAAAAAAAATCCGCTAGAGTAGACTTATTTCGTAACACCAAAAATCACAAAAGGGAAAGAATTGTAAAAATGGTGGTTGACTGAATTTGTCAACCAGGTCCAGAATGAGTCGAATTATCAGATAAAATGTTGTCCTATTTGCTACCATATGAAGCATGTGGATTCTCGAATGAATGGTTAATAATCCAAAGTTTATCATACCATTTACCAAACATCATGTTTAATTTAGACAACAACAAAGAGCGGTGTCCGTCCTATCAAATGACTTTTGGTGACACAATCAAGGGAAGAAGTATTATGCGTTGCCTCAAAAATTAACTAAACAATCAATTCTTTAATTTAGTAAAGTTCAATTTTAAATAAAAATCTAAAAATTATTTTTTGAAAGCACTTTGCAAATTTCATGCCATAATTAAAACATAAACATCCTATTTGTATTAGAAAAAAAAAAGAAAAGAAAATACAAGCACTAAACACATTTATTGATTACTCTTCGTAATTTACCTTTCATTCATTTGCTAGATTCTAATTTTCAATTTAATTTCATATTTTTGAGTACCACCTCATTTATTTTTTATCGAGAAAACTAATCTGTTTAATTCGTCTCTTAGTGATATAAATTTATTCGGGATGTAATATTGTTCTTCATAATATTACTAATTAACAAAAAGGGTATCAAATATATATGTATATATTACGCGGTGAATTGGTAAGCAGTGATGAGTTATACAATTAAGCAAGCAATATGATCAACTAATAAATTCTTTGTTGCCTTCGATAAGAGTGTCGGTTAGTTGATAGGTCGTTGAATTGGGGATATGCCACGAGAAATATATTTAGCGAGTAGCGAGAACATTGCAATTTGTTGTCCAGTGATGGCAGACCTTGGAAGATGTCATTGTAGTTCAGTCTTGGAGAATAAGCGTAAAGAATGTATCGTCTGGTCGATTGTAAAAACTGAACTGAACTGTCTGTCTCGCGATTTTTCCATACATATATAAGGATTGGGGAGAAATTATGTAAGCTCCATTCGGGTTATCATGGAGGTATGGCTGCCCTTTGGCATTGTCCATTGTGTAGGTACTGAGACGTCTTTGTGTTATGTTAGCTTACATCCTCTTCATTCCTTTCATTTTATTTACAAGATTTCATCACCCAGTCTGTTAGATAGTGTGGAAATTTTACGTGAACATAGGTTTAATTTCGGTAATCCGACATTTTTATAAAATCAACAAATAATTAATATCGCATATATTGATTATTTTTCTTAATTTACCCTTTCCTCATTTAATTTTATACTAAAGAAATTTTAATTTCCGATATGATTTCACACTTTGTTGCGGACAAAAATTGTTCCCCTATGTTACTTTTTTCATTTTAAAAGATTGAAGAAAAAAAGTTTTTTATTTTCTTTTCTCTTTCCTTTTTTTGCTTCTTTTCGAAAAATAAATACTTTTTTTAATTCATAAAGTTTAATTACTTGGATGGAATTAAAATGAGCTGACAATAAATTTTAGAAAAAATTTCAAAAACTTATTTCAACTGACAACTAGAATTCTCATGTTCTGTTTTTTCTCCTCCCTTCGCTTCTTATATCATAATTATCATCGTTATCATTGAATGAATGGAAAGAATAGTGGTGATGTGGTAAAGTTTTAATTTTCAAAAGTATTTTAAACTGTAGAGTTATAGTTATTTTTGCTGTAATGACGACTCATAATTATATTGAAACTATCGACTGTAACGATAAAATATTAATGAGTGAATTTTTATTCCATTCCCATTCAATTTATGTATTTAAATTGAAATTTCAAGGAAAAAAGGGAAAATTACAAGTGCAAGTTTTAGTTGTTTTATCAGATACTTGAGCTTTTAAAGTTTTTTTAATGGCTTTACCATTTGTGTTAGTCGATTCATTTTAATTCCATTCATGTTAATTTGATTTGTTCATTTAAATTTTTGATAATAACTTG